AGCTGGAATCGCATGAAAAATCTTGGAAATTTACAGACTACGGGAAACGAGTTACCTTGTTAATCTAATTAGAAATGATGTTGAGGTATTAATAGGTAAAAATTAAAGGTAGGAGGGCCAAGGGCAGGTAGGTACGAGGGTGGATGAATGAAATTAAAAGGTGTTGGTCCCATAAGAGATAACACCATCAGGGAGGAATATGGTTAAAAAAAGCCCGGATATGTTTGTTGTGTAGTGGTTCCTTGATTGGATACCTTGATTGATTGGTTGATTGATTGTATACCTTGATTGATTATTTAACATATTACAAAATGTTAATTAATTCATTGAAGAACATAATAGAACATAGTGACCACCTTGTCTAGTACCTGAGTTACCTTACCATACCTGTAATTAGGCGTTAGAAGTGCGGCTCACCTGTACAGATTCTTACCTGTAGGTCAGTTCATTTAGGGGATGAGTTATGGTAATATTAGATTTTAAGTTAAATTTCTTATTATTAATATTTGTGTTATTGTATTTTTTTTAAATTCTTTTGTCTATATGTTCGTTATTATTATTAATAGTAGTAGTAGTAGTGTAGTAGTATTCATTATTTCTATTACTAGTACTACTTACACTACCACTACTACATTTTCTACTACTACTACTACTACTACTACTACTACATTAGTGATTCTTCTATATTCACTAATATTACTTCAGTTATCAGTATTACATTTGCTTCTTAGTATCGAGCCAAGATGATAAACAACTTGAGTGACCTTGTAGTAAACATGCCGCAGGTGAGGGACGACACACACACACACACACACACACACACACACACACACACACACAATAATAATTCAACACTACGACAAGACAATTACGTGAATTGAAATCATGTAATTACTCTTCTAATTAGCCTCGTTCTGTAATTAATGATAGGTAATTAAGAAAGATTCAGTAGCCAGCGAGAACGTCATTAGCTTGGCTCACTGATGACTGCCAATGAGTACTCAACATGCAAACCTGTTATTAAGAGGAAAAATTTAGTATAAGCAACATGCAATCTCTCTCTCTCTCTCTCTCTCTCTCTCTCTCTCTCTCTCTCTCTCTCTCTCTCTCTCATTATTAAAAAACAATTTTTTTAAGTCTGAATTTAAGTTATCTTTTTAATTTATTTATACAAATTTTTTGCGAAGGAATTTAACTCGTTTCCATTTTTTTTAAAGTCTGAATTCAACTTCCTTATTTAGTTGTGTATATAATTTTACTTATTTATATTTATTCACCTGATAAAAGCCCAAATCTGTTCTTTTTTAGTTATAAATTGTGTACCAATGTTTACTTTTAAAAAATTAATTTCCAGCATTTGTTTTTACTGGATATTTATTGCCAATTTACAGAAAAAATAATGTTTACATTTAATTTCCTTCAATGTAAATGATATTTAATAGAATTTATATTTATAAAAATATCGTAAGTTCAAGGCGAAAACGGAAAAAAATCTAATACAACAATTGTGTAAATATTGTATAGATTGTAACTGTGAAAATCTGTTAGGTATTATATCATAAACTGACTTGGGTTGTAATTGTACAAAAATCTTAATGTTGCAAAGGTGTAAAAATATTAATTTAGATATGAATAAAACATTGTTGGTTGCAAGTGTGTAAAATACCTTAAATTAAAGCACTCTAATAATTATGAAAGTGTATAAGATGAACAAAATAGTAAATTGTAAAAACTCTAAGGTAAAACTAAGTCAGAAATTTCGTAGGCTGTAAAAAACTACATCACAAGTTGTAAATCGTAGGTGTATAAGTGTGTAAGTGTAAACGTATACTGCAGAGTTGTAAGTAATCGTAAATCAAGACAAATACACCCGAGTTAGGAATGTATAAGTGAATGTTTGTAAATATTTGTAAAATTTTGTAAATGAGTCGTGAATATGAGAGTTCAGCTGTTGATGTAAACACGTTGAGTCATTTACATGTTTACGAGACTGAGATTATGTTCTGCCTGCCAAGTATGTGGACTTCTTCTGCCGTGTTTATCGCTATGTCTGCTGTTGTCTCTGCCGTTGTCATTACCGTTGTGTCTGTTTCATGTCTGCCTTAGCCGTCTGCCATTACAGCTGCCGTGAGACTCGAGGATGGTGCTCCCTCCTGACGGCTGGAGGCTCCTGGACTCCTGGTCACCCTAGACAACACGGAGACTGGAACTAAGAGGACCTCCCCAGCAGGTCTTCTTGGTCAGAGCACCTGGTCCCTGTTCATCTCTCTCCTGCAGGACTTTGAAAGGCTCTCGTATCAAACACAGGAGTCCTCGAGAATCATGTAGACAACTAAAGTGAATTCCTATATCGTCTTAAATAGAATGGCTTCACTCCCCAAGAACCAAAACAGCTGATTGGATTCATTTGGATTCACAACAAAAACCTTAACAGTTGACTCGATTTTATAGTGCTTTCGATGCAATAGATTTGAAACCAAAGGACGTAAACAACTTACTGGATTCATCTGGATTCACAAAAAAAACGTAAAATACTGACCGGATTCATCTGGATTCACAACATAAAAACGTAAACATCAGGCTAAGTCGGGCCGGATAATTTTTTACCCTGGAGGCTTACTGTCAAGGCGCAGACTACTAAACTTGACTTACTGAATGAAAGCTCGGGGCAAAATTATGTGAAGAACCGTATAATTCTTCAGTCCACCTCCAAATGGACACTTAATCGTGTATATTTACATAACGATAGAGACACAAACCTTGAATGGAGTTATCTCGAAGTCGTTTATATACTGTCTGGTTACGTATTCAAGACAGTGACTTAGATGTGTATGAAATCAGAAGACGGGAATATAGTGACAGAGGAAGAGAGAGAGAGACCTCAAAAAGCTGGAAGGGAGCGGGAACACACACACACACACACACACACACACACACACACACACACACACACACACACACACTCACTCACACTGCTGTACGTGCTTTGTAATAAAACAGAATTCTATATGAAGTTTGGAGGCGAGCGTGGTAGAGTTGAGGTACTGTGGCCAACATCGACCACCTCCACCCCACCAGCGAGATTTAATGGATAAAAGCAACTGTGTGTCTCTCCCGTGGTGGATGTTGAGTGAAGGTAGTTGTGTTTTTGTCCAATATTGTTGTTTATGGGATGTTTACTACTACTACTACTACTACTACTACTACTACTACTACTACTACTACTACTACTACTACTACTTTTTTTAACATGGCCTCCAGCCTTCCCCAATAGCCACACCTTCGCTGCCATTTTATTGCCTTAAGATTAAATATCCTAATACAAAGGTAACTAACATAGCTGTGTTGAGTTATAGTTGAGTTGTGACTGTTGCCTCATAGTCAATATCTGCTACAGTTGTCGGCTTTGGGGCCGACGATCTCGTTCCCCTGAGGCAGAGCAAAGCAGACCTTAGCAGAGAGAAGGACAGTCGACATCTTAACCAGGCTGTAACGTGGCTTCTGGGCTCTGCTTCCGTTCAGATAACACCTTCTCGAGTCTGGCGTAGAAACATCTTGCACTTGGTCGCATCCCACCAGAGATTGTGAACACCAGAGGAGTGAAGCTGCCTTGATCAACATTCAGAATTCTCTCCCCGTATGCCCTGATGTTCTCATTCTCGTTCGTCCTGTGTGCAGCATCGGGAGCTAGGTTACTACTACTACTACTACTACTACTACTACTTAAATACTTAACCTCTATATGCTGGAGTTCTTATCTCTGTTATTTACAACTTACAACCATAACAACTACTGCATAAATCTATAGGTTTTGACGAGTGTCTGTACCGCTACTGTCTACAACAATTCCGTCTACCACAATCGCTTACTGTGTGACTGTTGTTATTGTTGTTGAAATTGTAACATTTGTGTCTGTATTTTTGCAGCAATAAGATGTTGTGTTGTGTATTTGTTTTGTATCAGTAACCGTTGTAAGAGAGGTTTTCTGTTATTTGTAAATATTACCATTTTCTGTGAATTAATTACAAAAGTTGTATATCCTTTGTAATAATACTTATTTTTGCATTGTATGTGAATTACAATATTTTCACATAACGTGTAATAGTTTGTTATCATTTACTATTATGTAATTTTATGTAGAAGTTTTGTGTTACAGAGATGTATTTGTTTTGGTCAGCGGGATTAATCTTGTTCCATCCATTGCTCCAGATATATTTTGAATTATTTTAACCGTGAGGGATTATGAGTGAATACCAAGTAATACTTTTATGAACGGAGGAAGATAATCATTACAGGATTAAGGTGGATAATAACCAAATTATCCGAGTCTGAGAACAATTGTGTATTATTATTGTTTGTGTTTTTATTTACTGTAAATAGTGTTGTTTGTTTAAATCGGTAGTTGTTTTAGTTTTTTTTATATCCTGATCAAGTTATAGAATTTAATGATGTAGAATTTAGTGAATGGTTGCCTTGGGTTTAGCTTTTCATAATAGAGGCAGCAGGGATTGTCTACATGGTTCTGATCTGTTAACCGAAGTCGTTATATGAGAGTTAAGTCTGTTTATTGGACCAAGAGGGTTGAGGCGACTACTGAGAGGAGATTTATTACTAGTGGCTGTGATTATATTCTATAAATATTGATATTTTAACCACTATTGAGTATAATCACTTCTACCATTACCTATAACTACTTCTACAACTACTAATACCATTGTCAACTGTAACCACCTCTACTACCACTACCACCACCATTTACAACCACAACTACCGCCATTTATAACCATTACTACCAACAATACATACAACCACAACTACCACCACCATTTACAACCATTATTACCACCACTACTTACAACCATAACCACCACCATCACCCACCAACAACAAAAACCACTACCACTACCATCACCCACAACTACCACCATCACCTACCACCACCTACAACCACAACTACTACCACCATTACTAACCTCACCTCGTCTCCTCCTCCCCCACAGACACGCTCCGGATCGTCAAAGACCACACGTACGGTACTCAGGACGACACGAAGGAGGGCGGCTGGGACGGTATGGTTGGAGAGCTCGTCAGAAAGGTAAGTCTGGTCTTCCTCCTCCAGGTATTCTTTGTCTTGTTTACCTGCGATTGTGATTTTAGGTGATTTTGTCATGTTTTGGGGGATTGTGTTTGTTTTAGGTAATTTTGAGTGTTTTTAGGTGATATTGTCTTGTTTTAGGTAATTTTGAGTTTGTTTTAGGTAATTGTGAGTGTTTTTAGGTGATTTTGCCTCGTTTAAAGGTGATTTTGTCATAAAGGGGGAGAGTCTTGTTTAAGGTGTGTGTATCATGTGGTTTATTTTAGGTGATTCTCTGCATTAAGGTGAGTACAGTGGTGTTTAAAGTGCTTGTGTTGTGTTTTAAAGGTAACTATATCTTTAATTTTTAGGTGATCTGCCTTGTGTAAAAGAGTTTATCGTGTCTGTAAGGTTACATTAGGTTTAAGGTGATTTTTCGTGTGTTAAAGTGAGTATCGTTTTTAAAGGTAATTGTAATTGTTATTTAAGGTAATTTTATCGTCTGTTTTTATTTCTTTATTTTTATGCATTACGGAGACTATCAAGATACCTCGGCCATCTCTTGATACAACTCATTCCTGCCATCACCCCGACCGCCCAAACTCTCACCTGCCCTCATCTACCGCTCACCTGCCCTTACCTGCCCTCATCTACCCCTCACCTCCCCTCACCTCCTCTAATCGATCCCTCACATAACCTTCCCTGCCTTCTTTTACCCTTACCTTTCCTCACCTGCTTACACCTGCCCTCACCTGCCCTCATCTACCTCTCACCTGCCCTCCCTGCCCTCACGTACCCCCTACCCTGACCTATCCTCACTTGTATTGATGGGATGATACAGGAAGCTGGTCACACGTCATCTCTGATATATGAGAGAACTTCCTTGTGTGTGTGTGTGTGTGTGTGTGTAAACCATTTTTTTTTACATCTTGTGTCAGAACTACCACCATCCCTTTATATTGACGACAAAGGTAACCGTACAGTAAGTATAACCAGGTATGTTCAGTATACGTCGTAGGTATAACCAGATGATTATACTAAGTAATATACCCTTGTGGCATACTCAGTAGTTGTATCAATTAATGTCTTAAACCAAATATAATAGGTCAGTTAATTATAACATGGAGATATACTCAAGATATACCCCATGAGATATACCCAGGCGATATACCCAGCAGAAGAGTATATACAGGCTAGTTGTCCCTCCTCTCCCTCACCATCACCGCTGCCTTGAGACAAATGAGAAGGATATATAAGGTGTCTTGTTATCTCTTCCCGCTGTTACGTCTTTATTGCTGTGACATATAGTGATGTATTGTAGGGTGGGTGGGGGGGGGGATGAGGTGTGTGGGTGAGGTGTGTGGGTGAGGCCTGGAAGAGGTGAGTAAGAGGATGTGGAAGAGGGAGAGGGTGTGGGTAATGAGGAAAATGGGAAAGAGGATGTATAAGGAGAGAGGCACTTGAGAGAGAGAGAGAGAGAGAGGTTTGGGTGGGTTAGTTAACTTAGGTCGGGGAAGCTCAAGACACCTGAAGGAAGTTCGGGGCTTTGTAAACTTGAGGGAATCGAGGAAGTTTAGGCTTTTTACAAAATTGTGAGATGCCTGGAAGTTCTAGATGGTGTAGAACTTCCTTAACCCTTAGATAGTCGGGCGGTGTAGAACGTTTAGGTCCTGAAAGTTCAAAGTCTTGCATTTAAACTTAACCCTGATAAGTTTTAGAGGGATGTAGAACTGTGAGACGTGTGGAAGTTCAGAGTTTTACGGTAAACATTCTTGACGGCGTAGAACTTCTCAATCTTGGGCATTCGAGGCATTATAAAAGCTAAGGGACCCCTGGAAGTTGGGCTCCGTAAAGTGCAAAACAGGAGGACCTGGAATGGAGCTCTGTCGTCTTGGTCGTCTTCACCGTCGTCGCCGCCGCTGTGGTGTAGCCAAAACTCGTCGTGGAGGAGCCTATAATGCAGTCTAGACCAGCCATGCCAGTCCTCTCACGGAAATACCTCCAGACTAAACGACTGACAGACACCGGATGTAGACCCAGGGAGGCTGCAACTAAAGGCTCTCCATGTAAATGATCTGAAACTAAGTTGATTGTTGATGTTGTTGTCTAGAACGAGAAGCTGGAATGAGAAGTTATCTCTCTCTCTCTCATTCGTTTATCTAGCATGAATGTGAAATATTATAGTTTAATTCATACATTTATATGTCATTTAACTTTGTAAAACATAAAGATTCACAATATCGTAATAATCATCTATGAAATCAGACCCATATTAAAATAAAGAAACACAAATAGAAAGGAATGCAGTATCGATGGTCACTGACAGACTCTTAAGGTGGGAGTAAACAGATGAAGCCACTAATAAACTTATACAGTCAACAGTTTATCAAGAGAAGAGTTTCTTTATCTACCGCACCTTCCCAAATGTCACAATAATGGAGACTAAACACCAAGGAACTATGCTTGCTTGTGTGCCTGTTAAGCCAAGCGATAGTGTCACAGTCTGCTTGCACGTGCATCGTATATTTTTCTTGTCTTTATTACCTTTCTTCTCTGTCTCTGGTTTCCGTAAGAGACTCCGTTTGTTTACGTTCACTGACAGTCTATTACGAATAACACTAATCGCTACATCCCAAAGTCTAACGCCTGACTCGTTATCAAATACTGCAACAAAACCCTCCCCAAAAAGGTGTGTCCTTCAGCTCTGATGGTTAATGGAGCAGGAAGTGGATCTAACTCGGTGACAAACTGGAAGAAACCAGGACCTGCCCACACTAATTTCCTCTCCTATGTCTTGCCAGCGGGTCCAGGTTACCACGTATTAGAGGCTGGGTGGCTGGCTACCTGGTTGGCTGGTTGACTGGTTGACTGGCTAGCTAGCTGGCGGATTGGCTGGCTGACTTGCTTGCTTACTGTTTGGCTGGCTTGTTGATTGGGTGGCTAGCCAATTAATAAGCCAGCCAGTTGAAGACGTTATAGGGCCGGAGTTGCTTCCTACAGTATCATGTAATAATTTACTCCTTGGATATTTGAGACTAAACACTGAGTACATCTGACAGCTGACGAACACGAGTACAGCTGACGAACATGAGTACATCTGACAGCTGATGAACACGAGTACATCTGACAGCTGACGAACACGAGTACATCTGACAGCTGACGAACACGAGTACATCTTACAGCTGACGAACACGAGTACATCTTACAGCTGACGAACACGAGTACATATGACAGCTGACGAACACGAGTACATCTGACAGCTGACGAACACGAGTACATCTGACAGCTGACGAACACACTAGAGTAAAGAAAACACAAAGTCTTTTAGAATAGTCCAATAAGGTGAACTGTTTGGCCAGAACCTTCTTTGATGTTCAACCAAAGAGAGTTGAACCTTTTATCCATAGTGTTTAGAGTGGAATAAATTTGAAGAGAGGATACACAGCTCACTATCACCACTATCACCATCACCAGTACCACCATTATCACTATCACCATCAGCAGTACCACCATTATCACTATCACCATCATCACTACCACCGTTACCACTATCACCACCATCACCATCACCAGCACCACCATTATCACCATCACCATCGCAGTACCAATTACTATCACCATCACCATCATCACCACCACCGTTACCACCATTATCACTATCACCATCATCACTACCACCGTTACCACTATCACCATCAGCAGTACCACCATTATCACTATCACCATCATCACTACCACCGTTACCACTATCACCACTATCACCATCACCAGTACCACCATTATCACTATCACCATCAGCAGTACCACCATTATCACTATCACCATCATCACTACCACCGTTATCACTATCACCACTATCACCATCACCAGTACCACCATTATCACTATCACCATCATCACTACTACCGTTATCACTATCACCATCACCACTACTACCACCATTATCACTATCACCACTATTACCACCATTACCACTATTATCACCAAAACTATCGCCACCACTATCACCATCACTACCACCATCATTACCACCACCACTATCACCATCACCAGTACGACATCCATCACCACCAACACCACCACCATTACCACCAACACTACCACCACTATCACCATCACCACCACTAATATCACCATCACCAATATTAACATCACCAGTACCACCATCACCACCACTATTAACATCACGACCACCATCTATCACCACCACCACCACTATCACTACCACCACCATCACTACCACCACTACCACCACTACCACCAGCCGTGACTGCCGCCCCCCTGTGAGACTTGACGGTCGGACTATTTCCCTCACAGTGTAAACAAACGAAAAATTTATAGAATAGTGAAAGTACAAATAAAACCTGAATGAGATGTTCCTTTAACTTGTCTTCACTGTTCTCCTTGTCGTGTTCACCGAGGGAGGATGGGGCTGTGATAGGAGACACACACACACACACACACACACACACACACACACACACATGGACTCTTGAGCTGAACCTTTTAAGTGTGCGTTGTAGGTTGGATGGGGGAGGGGAGGAGGGATCAGGTTGTCTCAGCCACCTGGGCAGAATCACTAAATCTCCCTCGGGGAAAACTGAAACACCTGGACATGGGGGCTGGCTGGGGACTGGCTGGGGGCTGGCTGGGGGTGGGGAGTTGGAAGGACACTGCTGCCTCTCTGTCGACCTGTACTCCTCCTCCTCCTCTTTCTCCTCCTCCTCCTCCTCCTCCTCCCTCCTCCTCCTCCTCCTCCTCTCCTCCTCCTCCTCCTCCTCCTCCTCCTCCTCCTCCTCCTCCTCCTCCTCCTCTTTCTCCTCCTCCTCCTCTTTCTCTTCCTCCTCTCCCTTCTCCTATTTCTCTGTGGCAACTAATACTGAGACTAATACCTTCAGTCGTACCAAAAGTTAATCATCAGTACACCTGCTAGGAAACACGTATAAAGCTGGTTGAGACAATCAGTATGGGAGACAGGTAGACGGGGTCAACTCATGTCTGCTTCAATACACTACTAACAC